ATAAAATATATGTATGGTGTTAGCAAGGTTTATAGATTATTATTATCTATAAACCTTGGGTGTTGGTCCTTTGTGGCTTTGTGGGTATTACCCATATTACAAAAACTTTTACTCCCATGAGTGGCGGGGTACACTGCGGGTCGGCTTGTTTTTCATTTCTATTTTACGTATGCCCGTATGCGATATGCAATATGCGTAGGTACCGTATACCCCACCCTTCCAGGAGACCGTGTTCAATAGTCAATAAACTGATAGTACATGGTGTATTTTTAGAATTGGTTCTGATGTTCACAATAAATCCCACTTATTAGGTCTTAATATCTAAGATTAAACTAATAACTAGTCATAACGCTATTGCTCATCGGTGCATCGGTTTACGAGTTGAAAATTTATATGTTCAATACTTATATTTCGTTTTTGTAATATACTTATTTCGAAGTGTCGTTCTGCTATTATTAAAAACCCTTAGTTATAATGGATAAAAATAAAGTGTTTCAAATTTTCAATTTTAAAAGTAATAAAAATGAAGTCTTGTGTAAAAATAATGAATTGTGTACCAACATTAAACCATTTAAACCTCAAGAAGCACTCGAAAATAATTCTGTTGCTGAAGTTGACCCTGATGATCCACTCGTTTTACCGGATGTACAAAAGTTGCCTTCTGAGGTTAATGATATCGGAGATATAAGTACAGGTTTGATTCGACCAAGGTACAGGTATGTTTTCATTAATTAATTTATAATTATAAATATTACGTGGTTATTATTCAAATTATATTTTATTTTTAAGAAAAATAAAGGAAGTTACTATTCACTAGTTTCAATGTTATTACTTATAACTTATAAGTCATAAGTAATTATTAATATTATAACTTATAAGTAATATATTCAGTAATATTCTAGTTATAATTCATAGGCTCAATTATTCATTTTAGACATATCCAAAAACTGTTTTTGGCAAACAAAACAGGGGATTTTCATCTACATTGTTTGATGGTTTTCCTTGGCTTGAATACAGTATTCAAAAGGATGCTGTGTTTTGCTATCCATGTAGAGTGTTTGGAACTGGTAGGTCAGAAGATACTTTTGTTTCCAAAGGGTTTAGAAATTTGGAAAAAGGTATGTTTTATTTTTTTTTTAATTATTCCAAATAGATTTGAACTTCTTGATTTTTTTTATTTTATTTACCTAAAATATTAAATTATGTATTTATATTTTTAAATAGATTAGTGGATCCATTTCTAAAACTTCCAAATTTAATTCAAAGTCAAAATTAGAAATTCATGCCACAACTAAACAACATATAATTAATTCAGAAAAATGGGTCTCATATACTCAGAACTTAAAATCAGGCTCTGTATACACTCAGATGGCAAGTGCATATCATGAAAAAATATTAAAAAATAGAGCTTACATAAAAAATCTGATTGACATAGTTTTATATTTGGGACGGCAAGGACTAGCATTCCGTGCGCATAACGAAGAAAAAACATCAATTAACCAAGGTATAACATTTTAAATTCAGTTTTCAATATTATGGGTTTAAAAATAATACTTTTATTTTTAAGACGTATCAGTAACAAAAAATGAATTTTTTTTTCTATTTTTCTATTAATAGAAGTCAACATTTATAATATAAAATATTATTCTTATGCCATACTATAATTTTATTTTAGGTAACTTTAAAGAAGCTTGTGTTTTACTGTCTAAATGTAATGAAGAATTTTCTACTATATTTAATGAAAAAACACTCTATACAAGTTGGTCAATCCAAAATGACCTTATAAACATCTCTGCTCAAATGATAAAAAACACGATTGTCAATGAGCTGACAGAAATTGGATTTTGTAGTGTCATATGTGATAAAGCAAGGTAATATAAAAATGAAATACAAATATTGTGAACTATACTGATTGTTTTATCTTTTTAGGTGTTTCAGACAAGAGCAGATGTCAATTTGTGTACATTACGCTAAGAATTTAAATGTTTATGAAAGATTTTTAGGTTTTATTAATGTGTCCGAGAATCAAAACGCAGATGCTTTGGCTACTGCTATGGTCAATTTTTTTGAAATAAATAATATAAATGTACCTATTGTAGCCCAAGCTATGATGATGCTAATGTTATGTTGGGTAAATTCAATGGAGTACAACAAAAAATTAAATCGAAATACCCGTATGCTGTATATACTCATTGTATGGCACATCGTATAAATCTAATTGTTCTAGACATGTACAAATTGGTAAAGGTATGAGGAATATAATATTAACAATACAAATAACTAATAACTAATAAGAATGCTTAGAAAAAATAATTAAAAGTATTCATTTTTTTTTTAGGATACTAGAATAGTATTTAATTGTCTTAAGACATTATATGTTTATTTTTCACACCTTGCTAATGATGCAAAATTTACTGAGATTCAAGTAAAATTAGGTATCAAAAAAACTTCCCTGACTCGTTTAAGTGATACGCGTTGGAATTGTCGTGTAAGAAACTGTGTTGCTGTAAAATTAAACTTTAAAGCTATAGTTACATTGTTAAATGATGAAATCAATTCTTCCACAAATAAAGATGTTGTACAAGCAATGGGTAAGAATAATACATTGATTTTACTTGAATTATAACTATTGTAAAATATAAAATATAGATATTAAAACTATAATTTATTACTTTATAGGCATTATGACACTTATTAATAAACCATCATTTATTGCGAATCTCTTAATTTTGGAAGAAATATTACAAATTATAAATATATTATCTACTCAGCTACAAAAAAAAGATGCAACATTAGGAAGCGCTGCTACTTTAATTGAAGGAGTCATTAAAACCTTTGAGTCCTTACGCACAGAAGTTGAATTTCATAATATATGGGAAAAGATAATCAATTTTACCAAAATCAATAATATAATAACAGATTTCCCAGGTAATAAAATTATAGTTTGTCCTACACTTATTCTATAAATTATAAAAATGAAGAGTTGTTATTAATTGGTCAGGACAAATATAAATGTGACATGTCTTATCATTAAGAATTTGCTATTTTATGATTTTTGAGTAGTTTAATTTTTATAAGTTAATTATTGTTACTGTTTTACTAACTACTGTATTATATTATAAATACCTAGGTATCTATCTGGAAGTATGTAGTATTTTAATGTTTTATCTCTATTATTTATTAAAATAGGTCCCAACAGTAACACAAATAAACGTCAACGTCAATCAACAAGTAATTTAGAACATTTTCATGTTTTTGCAACTACAAGTTCTGAGCAAAAATATCAAAATGAGTTTAATCAATTGAAAGGTTATTGGAGGACTCATTATTATCAAATTATAGACACTTGAATAATAAATTTTAATAAGAGGTTTTCATCTGATACCTTGCAATTGGCAACATCTATTGATTACTTTCATAAAATGAATTATTATGAGAGTCAACGTTTTATTGAACAGTACAAAGTATAGTTTTTATATTGTATTAATTTTATTTTAAATATCAATATGTTGATATATGATTTAATAAAATCCTGAATAATTTACACCTACATTTATGAGAAGTCAGTCTTTTGCTTGTGATGAAAAACTGTGTGTCCCGTAAAAACCCAAATTTCACTTTGGAAGATGTAAAGTTAATCATGGATGCTGAGTTTTATCCAAACTTGTATAAACTATTATCATTATCATTAACAATTCCAATCAGCTTTGCGACATGTGAAAGGTCATTCTCATCAATGAGGAAGATTAAAAATTGGCTTTGAACTTCGATGAATCAAGATAGATTTACCAATTTATCAATAATTTATATAGATTATATTTATTAGTTATTTAATACTAAAAACTAGTTTTTTTTTTTTTTTTTTTTGGGAGGGGTGAATAAAAAAGTACAAGTAACATTTTATATGGCATATTTAATTTAAAAAATATTTTATTCCTATACTTTTTTGCCTATCTTAATTATTTTAGACTAAAATTATAAAAATCGGAAAATCACTCTCCATTGAACTTCAACCCTTTTGAGGCACGCCTGAGTGTGAGAGTTGAACAATTACTACGAAACTTTACACAATTCATTTTTTTATGGTTTCAAACAAATTCCATGGGTAGCCTGATCAAATTTTAAAAAAAAATAATAAGGACCACCCTAAATATATAATTATAATAATATAATATGATGTATTACATCATATTATATTATTATATACGCATGCTTATTCAACAAAACAATACTTCGCTTGTATTAAGAGAATAATAAAATATACAGTAGCCTGGGCAACGAAATGTACATTTGATCAATGGCACAGAGTATATATCTACGCACTGTGTTCGCGTTTACATCAACTAATACTTATAAAGTATTTTAATACTATGCGCAGTTCTCTCTTCCAGAAACAAATAATCTAATTTCAAATCAAAGACGTTTACAAAAAAAATGGGGAATTCATGTACGAGATGTCCGGATCTATCGTTATCATCAACGCCGTCGGGATCGGTATTGGACCGAGTGATTTCTCAAGCGTCCACCGAAGACGATTGTTTGTTATACAAGTAGGCTGTTTATCGGTATTATGTATTAAACAGTATTATTTTAATTTTATGTTTAACATTTCAAGGCTAGCGGATTATAAAAAAGGCGGCGAATTGATTAACGTGTACAACAACGGCGGTCAGGATGAAGCGGAAAAATTCATTGTAGAAAAACTACCCGGCCTCATGTACAACGGCGGCAAGGGTCAAGTAATAAACCGAAACGATTATCTAAGGTGGAAATTTCAAAATCGCAAACACGTAATTATTTCGTGTCGATAAAGTTCATTATAATAACCGTGATCATATAAATAATAGTGTTACGCATTTACCCTTTAAAGGTGGCCGTAAATTTTGAAGAGAGGCCCGGACCTCACGATCCGCTGACCAGATGGGTAGACCACGTAGCGTGCTGGCAAATGCAGTATAGAGGATCCCTGGGCGAAAGTTTGTTGCACGTGTTAATCATATGTGATACCGTTATACACACTAGACTGTCACGACTACTACTCAAACACTATCCGATGTTAAGTCAAGACGTCGTAGAAGGCGAAGAATATCTTGGTAAGTATTTCATATCTAAACATTTAAAATAATATTCAATTATTGTGATAGTACAAAATAACATATTGGGAAACATTAATTCGTTTTAGAACAAAACACTCGTGGGCAACAGAGCTTGGTAACTAGAATCAAATTTTCCCTCACTTATTGTTTATAATAGAAATTTTTTTTTCAAAATAACCGAATACTACAATGATAGAATGCTCATTGTAATAGACACAACACAGTGCAAAAGTCTCTATATTTGGGGGAAATTCGACAAAGTTTCAAAAGTTTAGAAGCTTAGAAGTTTTGAGAATAAAATCAATGATCTTTTAAAATAAAATATTAATCTAGGTCAGTGAATTGTTTGCCGTCACTGACGTTGCTCAGAGTATAATATATATACTTCAATGAATCGATTTACCGTTCTACCCCAATTTTTAATTATTTATTTCATTAGAATAATGTATCTAGTAAAACTAAATAGAATACAATCAGTTAATACCTATTAGGTGTATTACGAATATTGTAACAAAAGAGTAATTCAATAATAGTCTCTTTATTTTTTTAAATTCTGCGTTTTCAAATACAATCCACAGGTGCAAGTGCGTTACATTTGTCTATTGCTTACAACAACAACGATCTAATCCAAGATTTGGTCGATGCCGGTGCGAATATCTGTCAAAGAGCTATAGGTGGGCGAAAACAAAAAAAAATAAGAGAAATGTGATCGAATACACTCATTAAAAATCGCGTCAACATTTTCAGGAAGTTTCTTCTTACCACGTGATCAGCAAAACAATAAGGACATGGGCAACAAACATACAGATTATGAAGGACTAGCGTATCTAGGAGAGTTGCCGTTAGCCTGGGCTGCTTGCTGTGGTAACCAAACCGTATATAATCTGTTGATTGACGCCGGAGCGAATCCCGACGCTCAGGATTCTTTTGGAAATATGATTCTGCACATGGTGGTCGTTTGCGACAAACTGGTAAGTACCTATGTAATTTTGAACATCGTCGGCACCGATCTAATTATATGATGCAATTTAACACGTGCGAATAATTGAGAAAACAAAAAAAAATTATCAAAAAGACGATGCGTTTATAGACACGAACAATAATAATTAAGAGACCGTTGAACTATAATAATAATATAATAAGGTGAAAAGACATTTCTGATAAAAACAAAAATAATGATAATTTAAGAACTTGAAAGTATTCTATTTAATTTTTAAATTAATTTGAAAACAATACCGTGTAATAGTAATATTTACCACATTAATCACAAGTAATATTAATTATTGTGTAATCACGACATTTTCTCAAAAATACGAGTATATATATGTAAAACAGAAATAAATATACAAAGTGTACATGAAGTATAAAATAAATTTCCTGTCTTTGGAGGAGGTTACAAATTTTGGAGAAAAGATTCCAAATTAATGTCATTGGTTTGGTAATCAAATTCTAAATTGCGGATGCCAGGTTAACGGAGCTTGCATTCAAAGTAATTTCACAAACAAAACAAAATACGTTTTAGGTTGTTTTACAACTATATTGCTATGATTTATTTAAAAAATAATATTTTGAGCAATATGAAAAGGAGGTACTTATAATATTATATAGGTACCGGTAACTCATCGTCAAAATAGAAATTAATTGTATAATAGTAATAAATAGTACACAACATTAATCAAAATTGAGTTCACTTAGCCGGAAATTAAAACCCATTAATCTATTGTTTTAGTTCTTGTCAATGTATACAATACCTATTTTTATATTATTGTATGGTAATACAAAAATTTCTTTTCGGTCTAGTGAACTACAAATTGTGATTAATTTTTACACACGTAATTATTGCACTATTTGTAATTTGTAGCGGGGGAGTTATGTTATTAATATTATAATAATTATTCAGATACATTTTCCATCAAATATTCGAGCATGCGAATATATGATACCGATTGTTTATTATTTATTTTGTATTTTACATTTACGATTTTTTGTATAAGGATGTAAATGTAATAATATGATTGTTCTGCAATTATATTGAAATCCTCGAATCTTGGGATCGTTCTACTGCCGTCGGTAGATACACTTCGATTCGTTGCATTCATTGAGAATATTTAATATTCTCACAATTACATCGCTGTCTGTCGTTATGCACTTACAATCGATATTCTCTTCAACCGACAACTGTAGATACCAGGGGCTTCATTCCTTCTTTTTTGAGGGTGTGCGTGGTATCAAGCAGACCAGGCCACATAAAAATATACATACTATACATCAATAAATTATGAATCGCAAGAAACATAAATAGTAAAAAGCTATTTAAAATCCAAAAAATAATAAATAATTGGTACTTTAACTGTGAAAACCAATGATTAATACATACAAATATGAAATATTGAATATGATAAATGCTATATAAACAAAAGAAGAAAAGCACACAACATGTGTATATTATGTGTAACTATTGTGCAAGTAAACGCTCCAGAAAAAAAAAATTAGTTATATTTATATAAGAGGATAGGTATTGGCGATTTTAAGTACAGCAAATACATCCATAATTTTTTCTAAATCAATATTATTTACTTCTTCTTTTTTAACATTTAACACCTTAAGATCATTTAGTCTTTAACCATCGCCCATGAAAGTGCGTAAATATGATTTTACATTTTTTGGCAATGGAAAAACCTTTCATTTAATGCTATTGTAATTGGCAAAGTTCAATGTTTCCTTGATAGCAACCCGTAACCGTTTAACCGCAAAGTTATACAACTTTTGACCATGAATAAGTTTTTTATCTCTATCTGTAATCTGTAGGGATATCAAGTATGTCTGTTAGACTACAAAATACACGATAGATTCATTGTTTACCAAATTACTATTGATAGTACATTTGTTTATTGACAGTAAATACCAATATTGTTAGAATAAAAATATAATTTAATTTTAATTTTATAAAAAATGTTGCATTATTTCAACAGGCCAATTGGGACTACTTGAAAAGTGAAGGGAGCAACCGTACACCCTGCTCCCCTCCAAATGACGCTCCTGGTAAACACGAGGCAAATATATTATCGATCCTCATGAACTTTCTCGCAAACAATGTTGATTGCCATTTTCTCTTAGATCGTTAAAAAACTTTCGCATACCTGTTTATAATATCTACATTTTCACATTCCTTTCGTAATATCGTTCTCTGTTTTTAATTACGTCCATTACAATTAGTGCAAATCTTCTAACCTTCGTATCATTTGTTATGCAAATAATCCCCTATTTTTCATTGACAATCAACAAGTAATACAGGTTATTATTTCGTTTCGTTTTTTTTTTTAGATCGGCGTATTTAAAAACTTATTAAATGTTGCAAAAACGATTTCAAGATTTTAATATTATAGATAACAAATTATTCTAAACGTTCTTCAAACTCAATTTCCTTTATCGAATTTCAAGTTTAAGCCCCGATAAAAAAAAAAAATAAATAAATAAAAATGTACGTTTATACAAATTCAATTATAAAAATCTGTCATCTTTATTTTGCACATGGCTAAAACATTATAATAATAGGTATGTAAATGGATGCATGTTCAAAATACAAGTATTATTTGACGTTTATATTATTTTGAATTTAAGGTTTCTATAAATACTTTTATTCATTAAAATTCTTTATAAGTTATTTATTACAATACCACAATATTATTTTTCAATAATTACTGTTATAGAGCATGTTTGGATACGCTTTGAAGCATCCCAAAGTTCCGGCGAGTAACGGCATTATGAACGCTGCCAGATTAACGCCTTTAACGTTATCGTGCAAACTGGCTAGAACAAGTGTTTTTCGTGAAATGTTGGAACTAAGCGCACGAGAATTTTGGAGGTACAGTAATATTACATGTTCGGCGTATCCTCTGAGCGCGTTAGATACATTACTTCCGGACGGAAGAACAAGTTAGTCGATTATCCGTGTACAAAAAATCAAATGACGAATAATATTATAAAATGATGGTTTCGCAGATTGGAATTCAGTGTTGTTTATAATTTTGGACGGTACCAAAGAGGAACATTTAGACATGCTCGACGGAGGTATAATTCAAAAATTATTGGAAGAAAAATGGAAAACATTTGCTCGGGTTCGTAAAAAAAATACAAATTATTGACGTTAACAAGAACAAAAATGTTGCTATTATTTTTTTTGTATATGTGATTTTTTTTTATTATATAGAAACAATTCATGAAACGTTTGGTCATATTGTCCATCCATTTGATCATGTTGAGTATTTCTATATATTTAAGACCTGTTGACCAAGACAAACCATTGATTGGGGAAGCGGAAGACTGGCAAGACGTAGCGAGATACTGCTTCGAAGGCGGGACAGTGGTGGGAGTTTTGTCGTATTTAGTTGTACAGCAGGGCGGAGAAATATTAAACCAAGGTCTCGTGGGATTTTTAAAGCAAACGGTATTACGATATTTAGACGTGTCAAATTAAAAAAAAAATGCATGCATAAGTATTTCTGACCAAAATGCATATAATGTATTAAAATATTCGTGTTTGATCAGTTTAAAGAACCGGCAAAATTGATATTTTTGATTTCAAATTTATTGATATTGGCTTGTATACCACCGAGAATAATGGGGGATAAACAGACAGAGGAAGCTATATTGGTGTTCGCGGTGCCCGGATCATGGTTTTTGTTGATGTTTTTCGCCGGGTAACTACCTGTAGTGTAAAACCCATACACACTCTTTTTCTTCTTCTCCTCTTTTCTTTCTATTTTAACTTCATCAATCCTCGATATACAGCCATTTGCTTTTAAGCATTTTTCTTCCTCTCTTTCCATACACTATCATTTGCAAAACCACAAAACGTGGTCAACAGATCACATCTGTCAATTATTCTCGTCTTTTTCTTTTCATTAAATAATATTCAATGATATTCAAACGATAAATGATATGATCAATATATACCTAACCTAAAAACTGTTTAGTTTGTTGCTGCTCGTCATCATATTAATTATTCCTCCTTGTCATGAGCAATGGTCATATACCGAGGGCATATTCTGCCCTCGGCTGTCTTCTTTTTACGCGTATCTTTCAATCCCCTCATTTGTAAAACGCATTCCTTACATTCTATTCGTTCTAATAACTACACTAATCCATTTATTAGCATTCCTATTGTTGATATACATTCATATTCATTGGATTAAATACATTTTAGTGCCATACGTCTGACTGGTCCGTTCGTAACGATGGTTTACTTGATGATTACGGGAGACATGTTAACGTTCTTCATCATCTACTCAGTAATACTGTCCGGTTTTACACAGTCATTTTTTTTTCTTTACAAAGGATCACCGGATGTTAGCACATCGTTGTACAAATCATACCCTTCTACTTGGATGGCATTATTTCAAATCACTATGGGCGATTACAATGTAAGTTATTGCGCATTACTTATATTATAATAATTCAATCCTACACAATAGCACAATAATTTCAGTTATAATAGGTACATTCATTTTTTAGTATGCAGATTTAAGTTACACTGTGTATCCAGCGCTTAGTAAAACCGTGTTTACTGTTTTCATGGTTTTGGTTCCCATTTTATTGCTGAACATGTTGATAGCTATGATGGGCAACACGTACGCGCACGTGATCGAACAAAGTGAAAAAGAATGGATGAAACAAGTAAATACTCGTACCTAATAAGTTTAAAATGTCAATAGGTTTTTGAGTTTTTCTAATATTCATTACTTACATATTATTATGTATTTCAGTGGGCCAAGATTGTGGTTACTCTCGAGAGAGCTGTACCGCAAAAAGCAGCTAGGAATTACATAGAAGAGTATAGCATACAGTTGGCTCCCGGTGACGAACTAAATCCGGAACAACGAGGTTTTATGGTGATCAAGTGTAAAAACCAAACCAGAGCGAAACAGCGAAAAGGCGCTGTTACAAATTGGAAGGTATATAATTTAATTTTAAACACATTTTTCCAATTGTATATGAAGTATGAGACATTTTTTTTCTTAATGATCTGTGTATACGAATCTCTATGATTTTTAAGTTTTAACCATGAATACATTTGATAGCTCTAATATAATTAGTGTGACTTTAATAATGTTAAATAACATTCGCGATAATTATATTATACATTTTTTAAAACATTTTTCGACTTTTGAGAATATAATTTTTTTAGCTCTGTAAAAGCGATTGAACATTTAATACAGGTTATCGTCATTGTCTTTACTGCTAAAAGAAAAAACAATTGAACGTAATTTCATAATATTTAACTTTTTATTTTTTATTGTTTCGAGGCTAATATTTTTAAAACGATTCGTTAAAACGCAAAAAAAATTTAAATAAATAAAATTATTTTTTAAACAAAAACTAATAAACAATGTGCAATTGAAATTTAGAGGAGGAGGAAATTAATTGTTTAAAATTATATATTTTGTTTAAGAATGTCAAACCTCTATATAATTTCCCTTTACGTCGTGACCGAGACGATTGTAGCCTGGACCCTAAGATTGTTTCAAAAGTTATTTTGCGAATTAAATTTGGTTAGGAAATTTAGGTACACGATAGAATATTTATTGCATTAGGTATTGCAGAGTTGTTAAGTTGGACATTGTTTGTATTTTGAATACAATGATAAATCACATACCGATAATACATTTTAAATTACTTATCAATTTCCTATTTGAATAAAGTTTTTTAAATTTAAAAAAACAGTTTCATACTGCAGACAAATAGGTAAATAAAGCTTGAACAATTAATTAATGATTGGAAAATAAATGGAAATCAAATTTACTTAAAATCCTCTGATAAAATTGCTGGTTCATGATAAATTACCCTCTATAATTTGCACAATGAACAGACCACAGTATAGGTGGATTGTTAGGAAGGTATAGGATATTCGAGGTCATTTAGTTGATATTCTACATGAAACAAAAAAACCTATTTTGAGCGAAGTATACCGAGTAGTACTTTATCTTTTGTGATCTTATGGTCAGAATTTAAAAAACATAAGAAGCAATGTTTTGAAAAAATATTGGGAATTCCGAAAAATTGTTTAAAAAGTACAACTGATCGAAAAATTCATATCTTTTAAGAAAATACATGAATAAATCCGAACCTTTTTACCATCTGAAGAAGTGTTTTCCGAAAATAAAAAAAATATCTTCGTAAACACAAATAGCTCCATCATTACACTCAGAACCTCAAATCCTAAAACAAACATGTCTATGTATATTATATTATTGTCCACATTTGTATAGGTACTTTAATATCAAGTTTGTAAACGATTAAATTTATTTTCAATATTTTATGTTTGTTCAAGAAAAGTGGAAAACTAGTTATCCAAGAGCTTCGAAAACTGGAGGGCACCGGACAGAATTTAAGAGATATTATTTGGAAACGATCTTCGCTGTCAGCGTCTTCGCCGATCGCTAAAAGTCTATCATCGCTGTAATTTAGTATTTTTCTTTTAGATATGATCATTTCTAGAGTTCGTCTCGTATTATATGCTATCATAATATTGTAAAATTTCGCTTTTAGAACGAAAAAAAAGAACAAGTCTTACTCCGAAACGAAAGACGATCAAGCCAAACTTTCTGGTGCTCTGGGTGCAGCGCTTGACGCCATTGCCGTGGTTCACGATTTGGACATGACGTTAATAAAAGACCATTCAATCGAAGGTATGTTATTGATAGTTATTTATTTTTTTTTTTTTAAATATAATATTATTATTACAATTTTTTTTTTTTTTAGAACTACACGATCCGCTCAGACAATTGGTAATAATGACGGAAACTGATAAAAATATCGATAAAAACAAAGTCGAAATAGTGGCAAATGCGGCCGCTAAAATTGCCGTGAGTTTTATCAATTGATATGTTGAAATATTTCATTAAAATTATTATAACTACTTTTACATATTAATATTCGTTTATCAGACACAAGATTCGGTAAAATTAACACCGATGAAGTTCGAACAATCAACTGTCGGTATGAATACCTATTTTTTTTAAATAAATATTGTTCTTAATAGTTTTATACTGTTGTTTATATTGTTACATCAGTATCCAATGAAAATGGTTGTATTGCTATTATAAGTTAACTGGTGGTTAAAATGAACGGTACATTGTAATAGTGATTAGTTCTAACTCTATAAACTTAACACTAAAGTCTCCGTTACGTTAAACTGTGCGCTAGCATAGTTGACAGTTCAAATTTAGTGGGACATAAAAACAGCCCTAAGTATATTATGTGCAATAAATATTGATTTTTTTTTTTTTTAGATGTTCCGATAAATAACGATAAAATAATTAAACAGACAAATCCGGTTGGTGTCATTGTGACTACAAATCGGAAACTCTTAAACAAGCAATCCAAGAATTTAAGTACGTACGGATTTGAAAGCCAGGACATGGTCGTATCAGACGATAAATACAATAGAATGATTGTAACCACGAAAAACATTTCGACTCAAACCGGAAGCATCGGTATCCTAGAAAGAAGCGAACGACAAGTGATTACGAGACCGAAAACCGCAAAAATAAATCGGTAAGCGTACATTTTAAATTCGGAGCGTAGTGATGGATCTATTGATTTTACGATAATGTGTGTATTTTTTATTTTTGTCTGTAAATAACTTCCCGAAAAGAAATCTTGTTCCGATGTATAGAGTGTAAAACGTTACAGATTTTATTGTTTTAAATGTTTGAAAATTATGTTTTCTACTAGAAATATTGCTCCAATCAAAAAAATAACAATAAATCGATTATGTTCCTTTTAATATTATCACTGAAAGAGAAAGTAATTTTTTGATGTCTAAAGTAGTGGTCATAATAATTGGTTAAACCCGAAAAATACGATTTTTTTGAAATTAACGTGCAATGATTTCATTAGTTAAAACTTTTAATATTATATTTTTCTACTGTAAATCATTGAATGGATTTTAAGAACAGTATATTTTCGGAAAGAAAATTTTGTTTTTTTTTTTTCGAGTAAAAGTCGTTAAATTTTCCGTATAGTTTTCCTAATAATTACAAAAAACCGAAAAAAACGTAGGAAATACGGCAAAGTGTATAGCATTTGGGTTTATTGTTGTTATTCGATCAAGAAATATTGTGAAGATCTGTAGTTTTCACAAAATATTTATATTGACATTTTAAAGATATGGTGAAATTTTTAAAACATTCAAACTTTTTTTAAGCTATTTGTAAATATTTGATATGTTCGTGTTTTAAATATATCTATTTTTATTTAGTATATGTATCTGTTATTTAAATTATAAGATTTAAGAGAAACGCTTAAAAATTTAACACAAGGTACATTATTAGTTGTACTTATAGTGGTCTAAAAAGTGAGTTTAATGCATCAGGTAGTTTTTTTTATTCGTAAGCGTTTTAAGTTCAAATTTTTACGAAAATCATAAAAATTATGGTATTTCAAAATAGATTTTATCGGACTTCATTCCGGATTGTTTTTCGTTAGAAATGAGCAATCATAAATAACGATTTATCGTTACATACAGATATAAATTAAATAACTTTATATACCCTACCATCCCAATTTTTCACCTACAACAGTAACTGTATCGTCCTTAGTATCCGCTCTTATTTTAGATTCTGAGTGGAGTGAAAAAGCTTATGGTTTTACAAAGATGTTTATTTTTTATTTTTTTTTCTGCGGACAACTTTTCTATCAAAGAACTTCCTCCGATCTTCTTACTAAATACGAAAAACCGAAAAACAAGAGAAAAAAACAGGAAAATGAACGAAATAAATTTGTTTAATTCTACGATTTTTTTTCTGAGTACAATATTTCTAACAGCAATTTTACTCCAACTTACAATGTTTGCTGTAGCCTAATAGTTCTACATTCCTATTGTTATCCTAAGGTTCACGAGTTCAAACTTGTATTTCGAAAAAAATTGTTTGCACTTATTTTTTCCCTATTACTTAAACACGGAAAAAACAAATGCTATCGCTCGGTCAGACTATTTTAATTGAAATATATCCCTCGATTTGTTGTACAGACTTTTCTACCAGAAATCTTGTTTTAAGTGTAGCACTTTTTCTGGAGGAAATCGGACTGGGGAGGTACTTTAAGGTCATTTTTTGATTTCCTCAAGAGATTTTTCAGCAAATGTGAAATACCGGGAAAAAAAAATGGGAAAATCGGTACGATGTTAAACAAATATTATTAAAGAAAATATATAATTCCCATTTAATTATTTTACCATATGACATATTGTTGACAAAGCATCACTATCAACTGAACTCCATTCAGAATCGTTTTTTCGTTAGCAATGGTTTATCGTTACTTACAGGTACAAATTAATTTCATTTCTATATCCTACCTTCCCAATTCTCACCAACATCAGTGGCTGCACCCATTGTGCAAAGTATGTCAGTCTTTTTATTATTGTTTTTGACCCGTATACAAGTCAATAAAAAAACCAAAACAGAGTTTATCGTTTAAAGGCTTCAGAAAAAAAAAATAAATAAAATAACTCGTAAATAATTCCAACACTTTGAGGCATACGTGACTCGACAAACATTATGAATATTTCAATAAAGTTTTTACCTTTCACGTTTTTTCTTTCGGAGTATTTTTTTTTTTAAGTTTTTAAAATGTACACATTTGTTATTCGTTTTCCTTTTCTTCTGGATACAATTCTTATAATTAATTATACACCAGGTTTATTAACATAAAATAGTTAAAAATATTTCACAGTACCTATACACAGTTACTAACTTATACATTATGATGTAGAAGTTGTTTAATTAATAAAACGAAAGGTTGTTCATATTATATGAAAGAAACAAAACATCTGAAAATAACTAGCCGGGGGTAGATATAAAACGTTCAGGTTTTCTTATAGTTTTTGGTCCAATATAGCAATCATAGTTTTCTGGTAATCTGTATACAAAGCATACAAATTCAGTGCACAGTGGTAGTTTATTAAGGGGGGGGGAGAGTGAAATTTCAAAATTTTCTCTCAAACGAAATTTATACAAACGGTAAAAAACCGTTTTACTATCATATTGTTTTTAGATTTTTAGCGCAGCAATGGAATTTAAGAAAAGTTGTAATTAATAACCTTTGTCGCTGATATTAAATTTGTTCAATAAAAAAAAATGAACTAATTAATAATATATTTAATTTTTTCGCATAGTACTAAAAAAATAATACGCCTGTAGTAGTTAATAGTTTAATCATATTAATTCAAGACAATAGTAATGTCAATGTTAATACATGCATACATTCATGTTTTTATAAACGTACTTACTTTTTTCTTATTTTACTTCGACAAGTTTAAGTTAAACCTAACCTAACCTTCTCCTTCCATCAATCTGCCAATGGCAGTGCATCCATTGAGCTCATCGTCTTTGGTTTATTTTTATTTTGCGTAAATATTCTGTTTGTTCATTTTTATGTTTTGCTAAGATCTACCAGAATATATAGGAAAAAAAAAATACGAACCATTTCTAAATTGGATGCGTGCCATTCAGATACGTTTGATCATTGGACGGGGACATTCCGCACATTAATTATTGTTACTACCTGATAATTGCATTTATATCACGTGATCCATCTTCATTAATTTAGCATACCTAGGTATACACTAAACATTTATTTTGTAGATGTATGATAAAACATGATATACTTACGTTGATTTTTAACGATTTCTTTGGATGTTTATTAATAGTATGTTGACCTCTACGTGTTATAATACGGCTTATGAGAACTTTTATAAATAAGCGACATATTTAAATTTAACAACTCAAAAATATTAAAATTCACTTTCAAGTTTCTAATAAATTTATAATTAGTCCCGTGTCGTTATAACGAATTTTATTGTAAATCGTAAAAATAACAAGTGTTTACAAAAAACCGTTTCGCACGGGTAAAAATTAATCGGGTTATAGACTTAAAATCAAATGTTCATTATGAAACAAAGAGGACTCTTGCACTGTGTAACATAAGATTTAGCTTTATAACATCACCATTACAAAATAAGTTATTTGAGTTTGATAAACTTTAAATTATTATAATTTTTTGAAACAATCATAACTGTTTTTGTACTTCGTATGTAGTAAAGAACAAATAAAACTAATGTGAGATGTCGAGATATTGTTATAAACCTGAAACGTAATAATAATAATATTAATAATTGTTTATCCTATTGTTTGTTACAGATTTTTTTTTGTACAATTTTTGAGGCTGACAATAACACATTTCTTGACATTTTTTTGACATTGAAAAAAAATTAATTTTATTCGTTCTAAACAATTTGAAAAGTGTAATTTATTTATTTTTAGATTATTATAAACATTACAACTTATAATATACTTTGTGTTAAATTTTCAAGTATTTCTTTTAGGTTTTATAATTCTAATAGCAGATACCGATTACCTATACCAAATCGAAATACATAAAAAACTCGAAAATATTAAATACAATATCAAAGGTCAATATAAGTTTTTTGTGAAAACTACAAATCTCTACAACAATTTTTAACTGAACAACAACAATAAATCAAAATACACTATGCCGTATTTCCTACGTTTTTTCGTAATTATTAGGAAAACTATACGAAAAATCAAACTACTTTTTTACTCACAATCAAAAAAACATTTTTTTTTTTTTAAAATATACTATTCTTAAAACTTGTATAAAGATTTCTGGTAAAAAAAATTTAAAATGTTTAAACAGTGAAATCATTTCACTGTAATTTGAAAAAGTCGTATTTTACGATTTTTCAGGTTGAACCAATTATTGTGAAAACTACTTTAAGTATCAAAAAGCACTACCTCTGTCAATGGCTATATATTATAAGGAACAAAACGATTTATTTTCATTTTTTTTTTCTGATTGGAGCAATATTTCTAGTAGAAATTTAATTTGCAAAAATTTAAAACAATGAAATCAGTAACCGCAGCGGCGTGCCATAAATATTTGCCGATTTACGTATAATTTTCTTTTGGTTTTTTCTCAATTATTTTGGAAAATCAAAAATTTTCTAACTTTGATGCACCAACTAGACAAAATTTCTTTTCAGAAAAGGTATTACACTCTATACATCGAGCAAGATTTGTGGTAGAAAATTTGTTCATAGATTAAAAAAATAAACAAATTACAATGCGCACATCAGTCATTACCAATAAATCCATCGCTACACTTCGAATTTAAAATTAGACCTACTACTAGCATATAAATACTACATGTTATTTGAATTATATGAATTGTATAATATTGTATAGTAATCATAGATTTGAATAATTAATCGGTTTTTGACGTTATTAGAAGCGAAATAAACTTATTTGGAGCGAGGTGTTACTAGTTATAAGCTCGTATATTATTTTACACACATAATATATTGTGAAAACTGAAAACGATAAGTAAAAATTAAATGTATAATTGTTGATTTATGTTTGCGTATAGTTTCTACAACAATAATTATTCGTCGACCTCAACAAAGATGATCAAAATTCAAAGTTTCGGGACACTGTGTTACAACGACCGTACAACAACTGTCGAGCAGTCGTCTAATTTCACTCGTCCTCACCTCGCGGTGTATGTTATAATTTTAAATTCGAAAGCGCACAATGACGATAAATCTATTAAATCCTGCAAAACAATACTACGAGTCAAATATTATTATTCATTGCATGGTCTTATTGTTTGCTGCAGGATTTGATTTTAGTTTTTGACGGATTAGAGCAGAATGAATTTATGAATGTTTTTACACAGTCGTGTGTTCGTATATGTTTAGTGGCCACGCATAATCAATTATCTGAATTCAGAAAATATTTTGTATCTATTGATACTTTATATAGATTACCCAAGGAGTATTGTAGCATTTATAGTTGGAATTGAAAACGAGATAAATGCTGAAAAAAAAGTCTTTTTAAATTAGTAGGTGGAGTTCCTCATTATTTATTTTAAATTTCATTGGGATTTGTATTTGACCAGAACTAAAAAAGTTTAATATTATTATCACTCGAAAGGAGCAATTTGGGATCATTAAATTTTAAATGGCCGTTACGGGACATTTATCATTAACTCTTAAACCAATTGGAATTAATTATACTTTCGAGTATTTAATTCAACCGTTTTTGATGAATTTATCGAATCAAAAGTATTTTTTATTTCTTTTATTCTGAATTCTTATACCTACAATAATCCGTAATAATCATTCCATACTAAAACAGAAATATCTATTATACGTATCTAATAGTAGGGTGAGATTATATGGAATATAAAACTCTCATTACCGAGTTGAATTTAAATAAAAAATAAATAAATAAATTGCGGCTTCTTATAAACGAACGAATTTAATTTTTTTTAAGTCATTTTCGATAAAGTATAAAAGAGCGATTTATTTCTCTGCTCGGGGTTTAATAATATTATTGACTATTATTGTCTCCGGGGTCGTCTCACCCGACACAATCCGAGGTTCGAATCAGTGCATCCTTGCGGCAATGTTATTTTTCCAACAAAACAATGATTATTATTCTAGCGATTACTTTATTTACTAACCCTACTCGTTATTTTATATGCTCGAGAACCGGAATAATTTAATAATGTCTATGGGACTGAATGTGTGCACAAATTCCTTTTTTCTTATTTTTCCTGTTTAAATTTGTTCCACGCAAGGTCGGTCACACTTATTTTATTTTCGCCCTCCTGTAACACCTTTTTATTACCATTAATGCATCTATATACCACAGGTATATTTCATGTCTCCCCTAAAAGAGCAAAAACCTTCTAAAAGCTTCCGGACAATATTCATCTTCGTTACGAGTAGGTGCAAATAGGTGTTTTTAAAACTTAGTAACGATTACACGGACGAATGGTTCGGCAAAGTTTGTATATTTTATTCATTCGTACAATTATTGTTTTCAGCGTAACACCTACACAGAATTTTGCCGTGAAAAGAGGCCGATCGGCACAGCCGGATAAACGGGACGAGGACCACGGAAATAAGGAACAACAGGAGTGTTATTGTATTAGTGGCAACAATATGTTGCGGCCGTGGAGCACGCAAGACTTGGCGCCGTTGAACACAATCATGGCTTGGGGTCCGAACGACGATTTTTGATTGAATAAAAAATAATCCATTGTATAGTACCTACACAGTTCTAAAAATCGTAAATGCAAAATATTTAGAAAATTTAGACAAAACGATATTATTACGATAGTTTTAGATTCTGAGTAAAGCAAAAAATGTATTGGTTTTATTAACATTTTTTTTTCTTTTTTTATTCTGTATACAAAAATTCTACCAGAAATCTTGCTCAGATATATAAACACGGCATCATTTCTAAAAAAGAATGTTATCGAGATGGTACTTTTGGAAGGTCATTTTACCTAAACAAGGAAAAACAAATGAATTTTGGGTGTACCTAGAAACCCAAGCCATCGCTCCCTCGAACTATTTTAATCTCGCAAAATTCCTCCCGAATTGTTATGCACTTTTCTATCAGAAATCTTGCTCTGATGTACCAAGTGTAGCTTATTTTCTGAAAGGAAATTTTATGTCTATAATAACTTAAAGAAGTCGTTTATTGATTTTTCAAATGGTTTTTATAATATCTGGGAAAAACCAGGATAAAATTTCGAAAAAACGGAAAATATACATAATATAGACATAAGTAAAAAATATTATAGCCTTTTTTTTTCTGTGTACAACTTTTTTACTAGCAATTTCGCTCTGATTTAAAATGATAGCACCTTTTCTGAAAGGAAATCTGATTAGAAAGGTACTTTAAGCAGGTAATTTTTCGATTTTCCTAGGAATTTTCCGAATAAATAGGTAAATCGTGATAAACATAGGAAAATCGATACAATATTAAACAAATATTAAAGAAAATATATAATGCTCGTTTAATTATTTTACCAAAATATGACAGATATATTGTTTAAAAAGCATTACTGTCAACTGAACTGCGCACAGAGTCGTTTTTCGTTAGCAATGGTTTATCGTTGCTTATAAATATACATTAAATTACTTATAATAGTAGCTGCACCCATTTCCACTATCCTAGGACGTTTTGTTTTTCTTTACGTGTAAATATTTAATTTTTATAAAAAAAAAAAACGTATTCCATGGTAGTAGTTATTTAACACCATGTTAAACTCAGCTTAACCGAAAAATGACCATTTTAAACGATCTTAAAAAAACGTTTTGGTATAAGAGAAGTGTAGAAAACGATAAGATAGTAAATTGAACAAAATCATATCCTAAACAAATAGGTACCTTTATAGTTTCTAGATATTCTGTATTCAGTATAATATATTGGTATATTATTATAATAGTTTAGTTTTAATTGTTATGGCAATAACGTGGAGCACACATGAATAATAATAGGTAAAGGTAACTTATTAAATTAACGAGTTTTTCAAGTTAATTTATTTTAAATAATATTAAGGAGCCCTGTGTTGGCTTTCCAATTGTTTTCCAATTTTGAAAAATTATTTAAAAATATTTTTAACATTTTAACCATTTATTTAAAGATTAGATTTTTTCATTAATTTAATGCCCAAAGAAAGGACGAGCTCGTTTTTACAGACAAAAATGACTGCGATAATATTTTTTTACATTTTTTTTTGTAATGATCAAAAACAATATTTTACAGACCGCATTGGAATCCAATTTTTTTATTTAATTTCAAATAACTAGACAAAAAAAGTTAAAAATTGCTCTTTTTTAAAGGCGTATTACAAGTTTGAGTAAAAAATATTGAGCAATAGAGTTCATTGCGGTTTTAATCTTTCCAATGGAAAAAATAATCATCAAAATCGGACTACTCTACGAGGGCATTAGAGATCTTATCGCAATGCATATTTTTAAGTAAAAACCGCGTTGGTATCGGGCACTTTGGTAATTATGATCAAGTTCATACACACTTGAAACACTAAGTAATGTTTGTTAATTTTCAAAGGAATATTTTGTATTTGAAATCACGTGAGCTCATATTGGAGACAAAAATAATTTATTATTAGTTTATTTAGTTTTATTAGTGTTAATAATTTGATAAATTATATTATAATAAATAACATAGAGTGAGGAATATTTTCGAAAAGATTTTCCTAAGTTTTATAACATAAGCTATATAACTTTTATAAGCTGTTGACTAATATAGTTTATATTTATAAAATGTTTAAAGTTGTATTTATTACCATATATTAAATTTTTGTCGTCAATTTTGAATTATTACGTTTTAAGGACCGGCAATTCAGATTTCGTAGGTAAATTTCACCAAGCAATATTGAATCGATTAATATGAATTTGCACAGATTTTTACTCAAGAATATAATACATAGGTATATAATATTACATATTATATATATATTAATACATATTGCACATACGTATCTCCATATACCATTTACTATACCGAGTTCGTAATAAAATTATACATCAGTACCTACCTATGTATTATATATGGGTTCGGTAATACATCAAACAATAAATGGGCTGAGTGAAAACGTTTTTTAATATTAAATTCGAAAGTTTTAAGGTTCGTATCGTATATATTAAACTACATGGTTAGTACCTACTGAAAATGCACACGTTTATAAATGTTTAATATTTGTGAAGTGAATACAATTTCGGCTAAAAATGAAATACCCATCACGAATCACATAATATTTTATTTTAAAACATGTGATATGAAATATTAAAAACCCGCAAACTCGTATTATTCCACAACCATCTTCAATGGTTCTGAATAATGGTCACGCAATGATAACAATAATATGCTATTTTATTTTTAACCGTAATAGCATTGATTTCGTATGGACACATGTAGGTGCGCATGGTGCGGCGCGGAAAACCCATCCGCCACCATCAGTGGGAGTACATTATCATAGATAATGAGTACAAGGGGAAGCTTAGTGCGCATCAGTGACTATCTAATAATAAAATAATTATTTAAATAAATGGGAAATTAAAATACCATTGAAGTTTAATATCGTTATAATATTCGTGCGCGAGTGTGTCTGTTATATCCGTTTCAACGCTTTCAACGTCTCAAGCGAAATTCAACACCCGGAGCCACATCCTATATGGGTAATAATTATAATAATAATATATTTATTCTGTCGAAAAAACAGTTGGTACATGTTTGAAATAGAAATAATGTCTGACAATACCATATATATACTAAAATAATATACAATTTAACTATCGAAAACTTTTGGCTTAAATAGGTAATAATAATAGTTTATAAAATAAGTTTTTACCGATTACCGGACTCTATTTTAATTTTGACACAGCGACAGTTAAAAGCCGTCCGTCAGTGCTCAGTAATTAGTACTCGGGTTAGTAAAAACAAAATTAACAATAGGTACTAGTGTACTATACCTCGACTATAATGCCTATAGATATGGTGACTAGATAAAAATCCAAAAAAAAGTGCATTACATATAAAATTTAGGTCCTCCATTATAAAAAATACCCTTCCATTAAAAGAATTGGCCAATGTGTATACTATTCTATCCATTTTGCCCATAGCTCATCTCCATCTATATGCATTTATTATTTTTATCTGATTACTTTATTATTATTTTTTCTATTATCAACTATAAAAACTAATAGGTATTTCAATAATATAATTAATTGTAGTTTTTGATAAAAAAAAAAAGTAACTTGACCTCCCCCTTGTTAGGCTCTTACATTATGACATTTGAAACTTTTTTTACAATTTTATCTAAATGAGATTTAAGCAAGGTATCAAGTATTGATATACTTATAAGTAAAGTTATTTTCAAAAAATTCTCATGGTCTAAGGAAGAATCATCGAGTGAATAAGCAGCATTTGTTTTACCTCTATAACTTAGTCCGCGATTTTCAATTAACTTTATCATATCAATAAGACAAATACATTTCTATTATTTTCAACTTGTATTTTTCTTATTGAACCAAGTCTATGTATTAAAAGTGAATCGATCAAGTAGAATTGCTTTTTCATCAGATGAGCATCAACATTTAATTTATGTGTTATTGTTTCTTCATGATCACTGACTCGCTCATATACATATCTCCAAACAGAAAATCATTTGGAAAATGATCCAGAACTATCACCGTAACAAAGACATATATTGCAAAATAAAACTTTTTTCTTAACACAATAAGATTTAACCTATTTAGATAACCCATTTACGATTTACCTCCATCCTTACAATTGTACAATTTTGAAGGTCTGAATGGAATGTTTGTTTTTGGTTGATGAGGATGAAGTGACCAAATGCTTGTAACATTAATACTTCTAGGTTTTGTAAACATATCAGTAGCCTCTATAAAAAAATTATAATTGTTAAAAATTAGAGAATTCAAATTTAGGTACATATTATATAGGTACCATTATCAATATTTGAACAGGTTTCAACTGTTGCAATGGTATCAACATTTTCAATATCTTCAATTGTATTAACTTGAACTTTTTCATTGTCTTGTTTTGAAGCATTGACACCTAGAAAGTAAAGTTTTCATTTTTAAAATAGTTTAAGTAAAATGTATAGGAAAGTTAACTAGAAATTACCACTATTACTATTCAAATTTTCTCTTTCATTTTCAATAGTAGTACTGTTATATTTTTTCAAATATATTGTCACCTAAAGATGAAAATTGTAAAGTATATTTCTAAAATTATTAAATCATAATATACCTAATGTTTTATATTATTATAATTTTATTTTTTAATTTTACTAACTCCTAACAATACTTTAAAATAAAATACAATATAATTAATAATAAAATGCATCAATTTACCTTCTAGAATAGCACAATTTGACAAATTGTCTGTTATGGCAATATTAACATCTTTTTTTTTTTTTTTGTTATAAATCCATAGATTTGTTTGTTGCAGCTCTCCATGCTTCTCTATCGTAACACAGTTCTTTCAGGTCTTTGTAATTTCCCTTATTCATATCCTGCATTATCTGTCATGTATTTTGCTCTTGGTGTTCCTCTTGCAATGTGTCCTTCAAAATCTCTTTCAATTATTTTCTTAATATCATTAACATCTAAAAAATGCATAATATACACATATATTATAACAATATCCATTCTCAATTAAATATATCTAATTATAAAAATTATAAATATAATAAACACATTAAGAAGACCAGTTTGTGTTTTAAAAATATTAAATGTAAGCATGATTCTAAGATACCTATAAAATATAATGTACTTTTAGTTCATATTCCTACATGACATTATCATAAATTATTATAGATAAATGTATTAAATAATAATAAAAAATTCATAAGTATTAGGTATAGTATGGTATCTATAGTTATACCTAGGTGTGTACTTACTTGATTTGATAAAATTAAATTTTGTTGGCTTGGGGTTTTAAGCTTCTTTTCTTAGTAAATCTTTCTCCTTTTTTTTTTTTCTTTTAGCACTTCCGCTTTTGTGTGATTTTTTGGAATTGTCTATAAAAAAATAAAACAGCAGCACGTAAACGTTTGTTGTAGCTGTAGTACTGTACTGCTGTACTATGCAATAGAAGAACTGAGGAATATGTAACAGTGAAACTATTGAGATTCCAGACTAATGACTTATGAGTAACTTAATGTCTGCAATAATGCAATAAGTATATAATATAATTCTGTAATTTGTTTGTGATAAGATAGTAAATACTACAGTACCACACAAAAATACGCGATAGCATTGAAAATGTCCAGTTTGTTTGGTTTAGTTTATATTATTCTAAAAATAGTATCTACAATAACATATTTGTGAGTTATGACCCACTTTATCAGTCACAACCGTGACCATTACTCGCCGCCAAATAGTAATCGACGTTGTAGTTGGTAGCAGCGCGACGGCTGCGGGCCGATAAGAAATCTTTTGTAAAAGACCACAGAATAGTAATAGATATAAGATTAATAAGATTATATTATATTATTATTTATTTTATATTTCAAATTTCTATTGAAATTGTATAATATTAAAAGGCCCCATTGCCGAAATACGAAGGGGGGGGGGCACTGGGAAATGCCCAGTTTTCCGGTAGGCCTATCTGCCCATGGGGTGCAGCCACTGTTATAGGTAATTGAATGTATACCTGTAAGCAACGATAAACAATTGTTTACGAAAAACGATTCTGAGCACTGTTCAATTGATAGCGATACTTTATTAACAATATATATACGTCATATTATGGTAAAATAACTAAATAGACATTATATATTTTCTTTGGTAATATTTTTTTAATGTACCGACTGTAGTAGTAAAGGTGTAAAAGAATGTAACAAACAAAGTAATCAAATAAACGAATAATAATTTAAAGAAAAATAACGTACAAACGTTATTTCACAAATACTTATAGCTAGAAGCATAAGGTGGTATAATTAAGGCAGTAGGCTTCTTTTTTCGTTTGGCTGTCCGTGGCTCATCGGTCATTTCCTGAAAATATAAGGAAGTACATTAAATAATAGGTACGTTTGGTTAGGTAAGGTATTATTAAGGACTGGATTTTGCATATAATGCATGTTCATATTTTCATAAGCAATTACATGCATTAAATGGATTTCATCGATCATGCTTAAATAAATAATATTGCAAATTTTTATTTTGTATACTTTTGCATATTTTGAGTGCAAGTGCATACTTTTCATAAAATCGCATGTTTTTGCATATCACGTATACATTTAAATGTTTTAATTAATTTTTTGAATTGTACATACACAATTATTATTCATACATAAATTTGTTCCACAACACAAAAGTTGAAAATATTTTTAAAAATAATATAATATTATGTTCCCGTAGATCATTAGTTGGTAGGTAATTACCTAATTCATTACATACTGGTTTTCCCATCGTATATTTTTATTGTATTTACCTTGTCATCATCGCCAATACTACAGAACACGGATTGACAGTTTGACGACTGTAGTTCGAAGTGTACATTTGGCAATATTGAACGTGTTATGAAAAACGTGTCCATTTCATACAATTACAATACTATTGTGATTGTTACTATATAATGCCAAAGTGTCGATGTCTTTTTTTCATCATTAATGTTTGGCTTTTATAATTTTACAACAAACAAATATAGCTTTAATAATCAAAAATTAGTTTGTGCTTTTTAAGTGTATATTTTAAAATTTTAAATGCATATAAATCCGGTCTTTAGTTATATTAATGTCTTTTGTGAGACAATACGAATAGTTTCATGAACACAAAATGGTTATTTATTTATTGATAAATTATTTGAATTTTTGACATTTTATTACCTATTGTTAGCTATCTACCTATAATAAAGTTATTATATGATATTTTTGGTACATAATATTGTAAAAATTCACAAGAACCAACGCCTGCAGTCTCCTGCGATGTATATTTTCCCGTAGCAAAGTATAATAATTTAGTAAAAGATTATCACGAGAATCATTTCGCCACGCCAAAATCTCACAGTTTTATTCTATTATTCACGTATTACCTACCTCCATATTTTAAGAACATAATATGATGGTAGTGATCAGAACGATTGTGTTCCATGCTCTGACGGCAATGCTCGTATTTTTCTCGCTTAACCTACACAGTGTCATCAACATCAAGAACACCGTGATAAGCACGCTCTCCATTAGGGAAATCACTGTAAACGTCATATTATCGGAAAATATACGAAGTACGTGCACGAATTTGTAGGTTAATCAAAAAGCTAAAAAAAAAAACAAAAAAAAAATTTAAAAAAATACTACACTATTAGGTGTATTGAACTTTACATTTAATAATTCTGATTAATATTATTGTTAACTATTTGTTCGGATCGCACATCAATGTTATTTACTTGGTTGCCAGGCCCTCGTTAACTTTTCCGGCGATCGTGTCCACGAAGTAACAGTTAATTTGTTTGTGTATTTAATTTGCCAACGGTATTTCCAATAGAATTATTTCAAACCAGCAATGACATCCGTGTTATTGTTGTAAGAACGGTCATCACTACGGCGACCGGCGTAATAAATATTTTATACTATCGTTTTGACGAACGCCTAGCATTCCGCGGACTTAATCTCAAAATCCAGACACTTTTGATGTTAAGTTTTAGGTATCTATAAATTATTCGTATTATAACAGCGTATTTAGTATTTATAAATATGTTCGTGTGTTTATAAATAGACGAGAGTATAAATTCAACAGTTACGATTTGTTCACCGAGTTTTTCATTATTATAAAAAAAAAAAAAATAATAAAAACAAGAAAAATAACTTCCGTAGCGGACAGACAAAATACCATAAATACCTAAGGTTCAAAATAAAAAAAATCACGTTTAAAAGAACGCTACACCACCCGTAAATTTGCCGTAAAATTGCTTTTGCACGAGACAAACTTACGGAGATAATATTCACGGTGGCCTCACCAAATTTGTACAGTACATAAAAAGCAACTTTATTTATGACGTAGCATTTTTATATTTTTGATAGTTTAAACAAAGTTCAAATTAATTATTCATAAAAACTGCGTTTTTTAGTTTTTTTTGTTTGAGTTCAACATGTAAGTAGGTATTAATATAGTTTTAGGTACAAGCAGTGGTGTTCGGAAATTTTTCAAAAGCCAATGCAAATTATAATATTTGTTTATTGTCATCCATGCCACTGCCAGTGCTCAACATCACGCTTTTTAGTCTGTACCATGAATTAAGATATACAGGATACCAAACAAACGCGTGACAAGTAAAGTTTGAACCTCCTCTTGTTAATATTTATTATAGAATTGATATACAATTTATAACATACCCTACTTCTCCAGTAATTAGATTATAGGTAACTATTCTACGGAAGAGTATTTTAAGAGTAATGACACTTTCAAAAACATAAAAAAAAAAAAATGAACCATAACTATTAGAGTTGACGTAAGCTTCATAGCGACTTAATAGAAAAAAAATTTCCCTAAATTAAATTAATTACAAAGGTACCGTAATTTTTTTTACAAACTTTTTTATTCGCGTGATGTTTTTTAGACTTTTACGACGATAAATCGTTTTGTATTTTGTTTAATTATATAGGAAAAACTAAAAAAGAACTGCAGTTTATTTTTTAATATAGGTAGGTACTTAAGATTTTTAATGTACGACTATTCATTTTTAGTTATTTTTATACCCTCTTGTATTCGGTAAAAAAAAAAAACATTTATAAGTTTTCCCGAAACTATATTGAGATATTTTAAAAAGTTGTTCATGATATAGCTATTTACTTGTCAAGTTTTAATTTTGTTGAATTTTGTATACACAAAATATTATTGTACCTTAAACTTTAAAATATTCTTTTTATTAAACCAAAAAAAAAAAATCAACCATAATATTAAAAAATGTAAAATCAATTCTATAACTAACTTGCATTATGTAAAAATGTATATGTTCAATGCAACTTTGAATTTTAAGCCACGAAACTGAAGATATAATATAATTTATGTCTACTGCATGTGGTCATCGACGAGAGGTGGGTTTAGATTCCAAGTGGAATAGGATTCATAAATTATACCTATAAATAGGTTTTTTTTGGTTAACATTTTTCGAACAGTTTACATGCTCAAATAGCTTTTGCCCGGCGATTTTGTATAAAAAGAGATAATTTACTGCGTAGCTGCTGACGGTATATTTTAAAAAGTTCATTTTTCGAATTCTCGAGTTCGATGTCCAGAAAATTGCGTCTATAGAAATTGCGTAGCAAGCGTTTCAATTGTATTTTCTATATAAGCCTTCGATAAAATACTATTTTAAGTATTTTATACAGCGTGAGTTTTTTATAATGAACCAACAATTATCTTAGAGGATTGTAAGTGAATTTGATTTCTGTTTTTTCTAATCATTATAGAATCGTTTAAGCTTTATTTTAAAACCGTTTTTAATGTTTTCCCCCTATTACACATACCTTAAATGAGTGTAAATTTTGATTTTCAAATAGAAACCCTTTCTTTTGAACACAGATTTGAATAGAAAACATATTTCTAAATATTTTGATATGCATAAAACTAATATCAGATTTACTGTTTATGAGTTATAACAATTTAAAGTTTAGACCAGAGGACAAAAAAGAGTCATGATAGGCAATTTATTACCCCCCTACTTATTACACCAGTATAAAGTTCTGTTCAAATCAGTGTTTAAAAGTGGGGGTGTTCCTATTGTAAAATCAAAAGTATGCACTTATTTAAGGTATATAAGGTATATGGAGTTAAAAATTAAAAATGGTTTTAAAATAAAACTTCAACGATTCCATAATGTTTAGAAAAAACAGAAATCAAATTCACTTAAAATCCTCCGACATAATTGTTGGTTCATGATAAAAAAAAAAATCATTCTGTATATAGAAATTAGCGACGGGATAAGTGGTCGATTATCATCAACTATAGCCAATTATTGGTCTCTGAAATAAATATTTTTGTCGTTAAGTATTTTTTTCCGTGCACAATACAAGTATATACGTAATAAAACAAACGACTACGGTATAATACGCTGCCAACCTATTAAATTATTATTATTATTTATCGCTCTTGGAACTGACATGTCAATACTGTTCGGGCCAACAAAAACCAAAAACGGACCAATATATTGTAGAGGGAAAATATTCGGTGCACCTATCCACTTGCGGGTATTATTCGTGTTTTGGCAATACTTCATATCATTCAAAGAGGTTTTTATCCCGATCATAATACAGAGTGGTTTTTTTTTTTTAACACAATCCAATGTTTTTCTCGGTGGAATTTAATTAAATTCAAATTCATTTTTTTCAATCATTGCGGGAATTGTTTAAACTTCATGTATTAACATTAATTTCAAATTTTTACTCTATACAAACAACAAATGAATATATATTTTTTCATTTTCGATTAGTAACAGCCGTTTCAGGAGTAGGTAATAAATTTCATAACCATTTTCGGATGATAGCACTTCCTTAAAACTCTCTCAATCTGAATTTTAAGCAGTTATATGAGTTTATGACTCATAAATGGTATATTCAGTACAGTTATTATACACATCAAAACTTTTAGAAGAATATAATATTATTTAATTACCGAATCAGGTATCAGGTTTAAAATTAAATTGTTAATATATTTGAAAAACAAAAGTTGATGTATGTTTGTGCCTTATAGTTTATGAAATATGAGTGAGATTTGTACAATATTGTAAGCAAGATCATTAAACGATTTTATAATGACTGAAAAAAAACTAAAATTAATTTTTTCTTAAAACCTTGGTCAATTATCGCTAGCTCGTGATAAAAAAGAAAAAAAGAAAACCGACACCTATTATGTCCACGTTGTTCTTGTGTTTTGGCATGCTTCGATTATAATATAACATTAACGTTTTAGTTAGTTTGTTCATCATACCTACCTAGGTACTATATTTATAGGTAATTTTGTTATTTTACAGATGGATTCAAAATGATGCTTTGAGTAAATAACCAAAGTGTTGGTAAATATTTTGTGTAATTACCCACTCAAAATTTGGGCAAATTTATTTTTGTTTTTGTTTTATTTTGTCAAGTTAATTTATTAATGAATCTAGTATATTCAATGTATGGCTATACGTAAAAAACAAAATAACAAGTTTTCATATAAAATGTGTTGCTGTTGGATAGTGCGTATGTGTGTTATATTAAAAATAAACGCTATTTACTGGATTTTTATTTCGAAAAATATTTACCGAGTAAATGGTAAATCATCACCATCAGTGTTCTATGCTACATTATCTAGTTTTTTTAAAAAAAATATTCTATTCCAATTTATTCAGTGATCGCCTTGTAGATAATCTGCATATTCATAATTATGCTACATTTGATAATTTTTCTACCAGAAATCTTAGAGCAAGATTTCTGGTAGAAAAATTACTCGTAGAAAAAAAAATAAACACCATTATAAAACCAATAAATTCATCGCTATGCTCCAAATCTTAGAACAACTAGATAACTGACTGTATGATATAATTATGTAAGACTTGTAAGA